CATTGTGTGCCATCACTATATGGGATTAGAGTATACTAAACTTTACACATTATATAGACTACACTAACGTGACGTTTAGGCAGTTCGCTTAGCTATTTTATATGATGTACGTTTTTTGGGGGGGTGGTTAATGAAAATGTTCTGAGATGTGACATTAATTTCTTGATGACCTAATACTACCTGTGAATACATGTATTGACAACTCTTCTAAAAAACTAATATTGTAATCTTTGTGAAAAGTTAGAAAGAGAAATATATTATTTTTTCTGAAATAACTGTAAACCCAATGGTTGGTTGTCAGTGTTATTTCAGCTTATAAACATTTTCAAAAAGAGGATTATAAGTCTGGGATGAAAGATATAGTAAGCTGTAACTAGTTACTCTTAATTATTTTTGTTGCACGATCATAACTTTCCAAAACTAAAAGCACCATGTTTTTCTCTTCAGCATTTTCATATGATACTTTATTGAATCTTGTCTGTATTTTGTAGATGAATCCAAGGTATCCCTCTTAGCCAAGGTAGCCATTTGGATGATGATGGCTTATATTGTCATCACTTTAATGTCCTTGCTGTTTCCAAGTAGCAACCAGCCAGATGTGCTGCGTTATGTTTCGTGGAATGAATTTGTTCATCACATGTTAGCGAAAGGAGAGGTTGTATATATATCTTTGTACATCTGTGTGTGAATATAAATATGTACACTTAAAAATAGCTGAGATAGCACTGTGTAATTCTGTTATGATCTCATTGTACCTGTAAAATGAATTATAATTAAGAAGAGTGTATTAAATTACCAGCATTAAATGTTTAGTTTTGATCTATGTTGGCAGCTTGCTTTAACCAGAATTAGTATTAATAATATTTAATGTTTTCTGAGAAAACAAGAGGTATAAATAGTAGCTAAAGTTTGTAGAGGTCCAGATATTTAAATGGTTTTTATGTTATTTAGTTTTTTATAAGTATATGGAATGCATGGTCTTGTAAAAGCTGCTGTTATAGAATCAAAAGTACTTATGAAGATTTGTTTTTAAAGTTTTTGTATATCATTTTATTCAACAGAGCGTGACTGATAAGTGCTCAAAAATAAGAAATGTATTTCTTTTTCTGTTGTTAAAAAAAACAACCTTTAGAGGAATTAGTACTTTGTAATACCAATTATAAAATTTCTCCTGTAGGTGGAGGAAGTGGTTGTTAGACCCGAACTTGATTTAGTCACAATCTATCTTCACGATAATGCTATAATAAAAGGAAAGAGGGTAGGTTTCTTTTGAGCATTTTGATTTATGTAGACAAGAGATATGGTTTAGAGAGGAGATCTTTAATAATGAAATTTAGTGCATTACCTGTAAACTATAGCATATTTGTATGATTAACATCTTGTCTACAATGTCTTTCCATTTACTCAAGAATTATTTTTTGTATTAATTATATATTTTTGCTTGTAACCATATAAGCTACTAAAAACATTTTTTAATACTAATTTCTGTGGTTGCATTTGTAAAACCATCATTCAGAGTTCCACATGTAGAGACACGTTAAGGTACACTTAAAAAGTACTGGATGCAGAACAAATTATGCATGCTGTCATGTGTCTGCTCATGGATAAGAAAGAACAAATTATGCATGCTGTCATGTGTCTGCTCGTGGATGAGATGGAACAAATTATGCATGCTGTCATGTGTCTGCTCATGGATGAGATAGAAGCATATTGATGTTTGAATGTTTTTTCGTGTAAACTTGCTTATTACCAATGCACCCATGTACAAAGGTGGAACATCAACAGGATACGGGCATAGTCAGTATTAAGTAGCTTTCTGTACATTCTGGTGATAATCTTTGTGAACAGTTGATAAATCCCTGCTGCTGAATCTGACATATGATTATTATGTATGTTACATTTGCAATACAACGTTGAAGAAAAATAATAATATAGCTCTTCAGTAAGTGATATTTATATGTTAAAAAATAATGAACTAAATAGATAATGGACAGTATTTTTTTGTTAAATAAAATGAACAGAAGTTTTCTGCACATTTTATAAGGGTTTATTTAGTGCAAGCTTTTGACTTCAGTCATTTTATTTTATTTTAAATCTCACATTACTATGAGTCTGACCCCCAGTGGCACAGCGGTATGTCTGCAGACTTAAAAAGCTAGAATCCAGGTTTCGATACCCGTGGTGGGCAGAGCACAGAATGCCCAATGTGTAGCTTTGTGCTTAATTACAAACATACAAACAAACAATACTATGAGTCTAAAAAGTATTTATCTATAATTACTGAAATATAACCTTATTGATGCAACACATTCTGTAAATCTTGCTTTTTTTGCCTATGCATATTTCAGCCATTTAATAGAAAACGAACTTTGTTTCACACAATTCACGATTCATTAACTGTACACAATCTCATTTCAAGACTTAATAATTTTATTACACTTACAAATCACTTTTTTTGTGTGTAAAGTATACTAACTGATGAGTAAACTGGAATGAACAGAAACTGCCTGTTGTAAAAACACAAATGTAGACGACATAGTTTCAAAAGTCTTCTGTCTTCGGGTCCATTCCAGTTTGCTCATCATCAATACTCTGCCTAAACAATCTATAAAAGAACTATATTAACTCTTTCCATATAGGCATCATTTTCTAACTAGTTTTATAGCTGGTTGTATGTCATTTGTAAACGTGTTTGTATTTTTTAACAAAACAGGTGAATCTTATTGTGTGTCAGGTTTCTAGAAAGTATTATAAAGCATACATAGATACATTTTTCTAGATACAATTGTGGGAAATAAACAGTGCAATGGTAAACTGATTCTGGATAAAACTGTATCACATTTGTATAATTTCTGAAAAAAAATATAAGTGTGTGAAACTTTTTTTTTTGCTATATAATCTTATGCGGGTCACAGTTTATAACTTATGTGTTATTAAGGTACAATAATGATACTCGGAAAGAGAAAAAAGTTTAAAGTTTGGTTGAAGTTTTATATAATTTGGTATTTATATATAGAGAACTAAGCCACACTTTTTTGGTAACTTATAAAATATCAGCTTATTCAAGCCAATTTCCAGGATTGTGTAACCCAATCAGATTGAACTGATAAATTTGTAAAGTTTTTAAGCTGTATACTTAAATTATACTTTCTTCCCTCTCTTGGTGCAGATGTCTTCTGTACCTTCTTCCTACTCTTGGTGCAGATGTCTTCTATACCTTCTTCCCACTCTTGGTGCAGATGTCTTCTGTACCTTCTTCCCTCTCTTGGTGCAGATGTCTTCTATACCTTCTTCCCACTCTTGGTGCAGATGTCTTCTGTACTTTCTTCCCTCTCTTGGTGCAGATGTCTTCTATACCTTCTTCCCACTCTTGGTGCAGATGTCTTCTGTACCTTTTTCCCTCTCTTGATG